AGCAAGAGGCTTTGTTTTGATTCACTCCCACTTGCTCTGCTGAAATTCCTGCCTAAAGTCTCCAGCATGGTATTGTGGTGGTGCTATGCAGAGCTATGCACAAGCATGTCTGCCTGTTGTGGCTGTCCGCTGCCCCTTTGGGGCACTATTGAAGATACATGGAATTATCAGAAACGTAGGCTATGGGCTGCCGCTTTAGCTCACCTGGTTGAACTGGTGACCCATACAGGGGCTATGGTCCCTGACGCAGCGGCCATGGGTTTGAATCCCACTTATGGCCCTTTGCTGCAACTCCTTCCCCCATTCTTCTCCCCCACTTTCCTGTCTCTCTCTCAACTGTCCTGTCTAATAAAGGCAAAAGGCCAAAAATAAATAAAAATGAATGTAGGCTACTCATGTTTGTGTTCTTGTGGCCCTTTAGTTTTTGGCCTTGTTGCATCAACAGTCATAAGCAGTGTCTATAAACATATGCAGTGTTTACTGTACCAAAATGAGTTTTTGTTCTTTCTGGTTCATGTCAGCCTCTGAACCAATCAGCATTCAACCTACACATAGTGTCATCATCGAGGGGCCTTGTTGAAGGACTGCATGTCTCCATAGCTTCTGCATTGTTAAAATACCCACAATCCTTCACTCTGCATGTACATATAGCTATGCAAATGGACACCAACACAGAACCATGAATCCCATCGATCCTCTTTAACGCTGTTATGACAAACTCAACATTTCATTTAAAATTAAAAGCCATCAGTGGACAGAAACCCTTAATTTCTAAACAGGGCTTTTATAGTGAAATGTACATAATGCTTAACTAGCAGGAACATTATCTGACCAGCACCAGGGGTTTGTGAAGACTTGTTTTTACCTCCAGCCTTTGTTTGTTCATGTCGTCCACACTCACGATTGCAGACTCAGCTTTTAATTGACTGGTACATCGATTCTATATCATACAGTCATAATCATGTATCAGTAGAAGCTGTACAATTTCAGGATTTTAAATATCGTTATCTTCTGCTCAGAGAAGGATCTATGCAATATCAGTGCTTTTGTACGTCGACAATAATCCTGTGGAGTATTGTTGTTTTCCGCAATCAAAGGAATCTGTACAAAATTTGTAGTTGCTACATATAGAGGAATCCGTACAATATCAGAAATACTTATGTGTATTTCTTGTTTATTTTTTTATTTTTGATGTTCCCTACAAGGGCTGCAAGGTGGCGCAGATGGTTAGCACTGTTGCCTCGCAGCAAGAAGGTCCTCGTTTCACATCCTGGTGGGGGCACCGGGATCTTTCTGCATGGATTTTGTATGTTCTCTTGCGGTTCCCCCTGGTTCTCCGGCTTCCTCCCACACAGTCCAAAAACATGTTGAGGTTAATTGGTGATTCTAAATTGTCCGTAGGTGTGAATGTGAGTGTGCTTGGTTGTCTGTCTCTAAGTGTAGCCCTGTGATAGACTGGCGACCTGTCCAGGGTGTCCCCTGCCTTCACCCTACGTCGGCTGGGATAGACTCCAGCCCCCCCGCGACGGATTAAGCGATGTATAGATAATGGATGGATGGATGTTCCCTATGTTTTTGCATTATCCCCTTTTGCTTCTGTAACACTGAATTTCCCCGCTGTGGGATCAGGATGATCTTAGCTTCAACACTTTTACAGACGTCCCTTTTTGTGAATGTGGTCTTTGGGGAATCTTTTTTGTTGCAGTATTGCAAGTGACTGCTGCAACAAAATGGCAGCAAAGCGCTCTATTAATACAGCCATGATCTTCACTGTGTGAACGAAATTTCACAGCAGTCCGTCCAATAGTTGTTGAGATTCCACAAAAAATTGTAAACCTCAAGGTGGCACTAGAGGAAAACCCAAAGGGGGTCCAAAGTCATTAGTATGTATCACTGGGGAAGCATAAATGTGTGTACAAAATTTGCCACCACTCCATCTAATAGTTGCTGAGATATTTCAGGGAAAAGTCGTGGACCAACCAGCCGAGAGATCGACAGGAGTAGACAGCAGTACAACAGCATTTTAAATGAGGCGTGTTGATGAAATGTATCTACTTGCAGCGCCGAAGATGACAAGAATCTTATTAACATAATGAGTGGCAGAAATTTAAATTTAATACAGTGAAGGAGAGATGCAGCCGAATGCCTGAAAAATGAGCACTAAGTCAGTTGTTAGAAGGTTGTACTGTCTTATTCAACACAGTGTGCCGTGTGTGTCTGTGCTGCCGTCTTCCTTTTCCCAGCCCACCCACTGTTCCCACCATGCTGCGTGAATAGGCTCAGTCATTACTGTGCTTCTCCTGTGCCGTCTGCAGGGTAAAATGAGACAATAGTCAAGATTTTCAACCAGGGGGCCTAAATCATTTACACAGCATGGAGCGAGTGTGCTGAAATGAGGCTGCTGATAACTCTGTCCTGCAGGAGCAGCAGGTGGTACTGTAACTGCAAGAAAAAAACGACAGATAAACTCATTACAGTGACAAATAGTGTGTTTATGCACGAGTAAAACTGTTTAAAATCGTGTCTAAAATGTTCCCCTGGTGCTGATCAAAAGGAGAAATCCAGCATCTTTGGATGAAGCTGCTGAGAGTTTTCCCGTTAGTTCAACATACTAAAGACAGAGAGCAGAAATACAGAAACACACAGATTTAGAAAAAAGTGTGGCAACTGTTTGAATGATAAAGTCCTGCTTTTAATCCTCTTATGGGTGATTATTCATCATTATCCGTGACTTTGCACAAGACTACAGAATTATTAAAATACTACGAACACATGCTTTCTTGACTTGATACTTTAGTTATTTTTGGCTAACAGATAGCTAATAATGGAGTTTAAAATGTCAAAAAATATGATTTAAAATGGCAAAATTGTTATATACTAAGTCAAAATTATGACATTAAATTACAAATGATCTGATAAAATGTCAAAAGAAAACAAAAACACATTTTAGACTTTAAGTTATAAAAATTACGAGTTACCAGGTAATATATAGGATAAAAAGAAAACATTATAAAGACAAAACATAAGAAATTGTGAGAACAAGAAGGAAAACTTTTGACAAAAAAGTAGTATTTGTAAGACTAAATGAAAATTTGACTTACTGAATCAAAATATACAAAAGTCACATTTTTATATTTTAAATGTTAAAAATCTGAAAAATAAAGCAAAAATTCGAATTACAAATTTTCAGATAAAATGTCAAATTTTGAGTAATACACAAAGTATTATATTTTGACAAAATCAGAATTACATTTTAAAAAAGAGTCACGTAAACAAAAAACGACAAGAAGTTAGAATCATGAAGTAAAATGCAAAATTTACAAGATTAAAAAGTCAGCATTTTGACATAAAATAAACTGCAGATAAATGTTGCATTTTGAGTTAAAAATAGTAGATACAAAGTGAATTTAGGAGATAAAATCCCATTTTTGACATTAAAGTCAAAAAATATGAGATAAAAAATTTAATTTAGAAAAAGTATAAACCTCACCCTAAAATTATGTTTTGTTTTGTTTTTTTGTTTTTTAACTTTTTGACTGTTGATACTTGAAAAAGTTACATTTATGATTTAAAATGTCTAAATTATGAAGTAAACGTAATGATTTGGACATATAAACCCAAATTGTGACATAAAAAGCAAAAAACATTGACAACAAATTTTTAATTAAAAATGAAAATAAAGATTAAAAACTAAAACAAAATTATGGTTAATTTTGGAATGAATTGTGAGACAAAAGATACAAAATATTAATTTAAAAAGTCAAAACATTTTACATAAAAGCAAAATATATTAAATGTAGATAAAATGTCAAATTTTGAGTTAAAAGGAAAAAAACAAGATTGTCACAGAAGTTAACTTATTAAACTAAAAATGTTGTTAAAAAGTCAAAATAATGATCTAAAATAAAAAAACAAGATAAAATTCAAAAAGAGAATAAGATAGAAAATACAAATCAATGGATAAGCAACATTTATAAAAATAAGAAATAAAGAAAAACAAAACAAGTTAAAATTACTGGATAAAATGTTACATTTTGGGTTATACGGTCAAATAAGTTAAGAAGTCACACCAGTTAAAATACAGAAAATTCAAAAATAATGGGTTAAAATGGTATAAAAATATTTTTTTATTATTATTTTAGAAAATGTATTTTTTAAAATCAATTTTAGTAGAAATTTTTTAAAAATGAGATACAATGTTAAAAAGTCCCCAAAGCTGACTTAATAGTGAAGAGTCAAAATTGTGCAATATAATACATTTTGAGAATAAAATATAATTTTGATTGAAAATTTTGTCTTTTTAATGTAAAGTACAAAAATACATTGAAGTCTAATTCTAATTCACAATTTTCTCCTACTAAAGGAATGAAAATGATGACTTAAGATGAATTTTACTTTTACTCCTAACTACGTTTCGTTATTGTTTTACTGGCAGAAATGGTCTTCCATATTTCACATAATGAGCTGTTTTTTCTTAAACGCTCCACATTCCAGCGGACCGTAAACGTCACAGGAGGCGGTGCTGCGTTCACTGCCCCTCCCCCCAAACCACGAGGCTCCAGTGTTGACAGGCCACTAACCAGCCGGAGGCACGCAGCGCTCAGTCCGCTGCTCCAGCTCACCGCCGGACCGAAGCTTCGTCTCTCCGAGTGAAAGCCACCGCCTGGAAGCGCCACGTCCTCATTACAGCTGCCCGCTTTCCGAAGCTTCTCTCTCGGGTCTCAAATGTGGCTTACAAAGGATTAACGGCCGTGCGGGAATTCACCCTCCAGTCGGTTGTTAGCGCGGAGCTAACCGGACCGTAGTCGACAGACCCCGCCTTCCCTTAATTTGTCAACAAAGGGGTTTGACAAGCTCGGAGAAGCCCAGCCCCCATGTTCCCTTAAAAGGATGATTTGGCCATACACGGCCAACAATCAAGCCGCGGGTAACCTCTTCCCTTCCCCATCCCGTTCATATGGTGCGTTGACTTCCTCCGTCGCCGTTAAAGCGGAGCTATCATGGCGGAGCGCGTACAGCAGCCCCCGGCCAAGCGGCTCTGCTGTAGACCGGGCTACGGAGCAACATGTAGGCAAGGCCAGCGGGCCGCGGGGGCGCCGTGCGGCGGCTCGGCTGCCACCCAGGGCGAATCGAGCCGAACCCAGAGCCCGGAGTCCCTCCTGGACATCGCGGCGAGGAAAGTCGCGGAGAAGTGGCCGTTTCAGCGGGTAGAGGAGCGCTTCGAGCGGATCCCGGAGCCCGTCCAGAGGCGGATCGTGTACTGGTCTTTCCCGAGGAGCGAACGGGAAATCTGCATGTACTCGTCGTTCAACACCGGCGGGGAGGAGCTCGGGAGTAGCGGGGAGAGCGGCGACGAGACGCGGCTGCCTTTCCGACGGGGCATCGCTCTGCTGGAGAGCGGCTGCGTGGACAACGTACTGCAAGTCGGTGAGTGATGTGATGAGACCGGGCTTAACGGGCACAAATTCAGACATCCTGACAATTAACCAGCCAGAAAACAACAAAATGACCCACATTAGTGATGACATGTGGGAACGACTCGGATTATACGGGCAGATAAAGTGACAGGGCTTGACAACAAAGGGCGACAGACTCACAGAGAGGCAGCGACGGGGCTTTAAATCTGCTGGGGGCATGAATGGGAATGTGTGACTGGGGCATTTAAATCCCTTTTAGCTCGGGGGCCAGTTTGAATGTGGAAAAAAGCCTCAAAATGCACTAATTGCGTGGAGGATCATGCTGAGTCTCAAACAAAAAAGGAATCTCCACATTTCTACACAGAAGCAGCACCAGAATTAATTGTGAAACTTTGTCAGAATGAGGACAAACAAGGCAGCGACTGACTGTGTTGTATCACAGTGATGTAGCTGATGTGACTTGTAAAAACAAAAACCCACAAAACAGAATTTAGTTATGTTAAAATGTATTTGTGGATTAATTTTTTGGTTAAAAAAAAAAAAACAATGCAGAATTTAGTGATTTTAAAATCTATTTGTGTATTAAATGTGATACTTTTAGAAGACAGAACTTTAAAATCTGTGATAAATGATTACATAAAACTATTGAGTAATAAGGGAAGTGCTCAGCGTTGGGTTGGGTCTCAACTGACACACATTACATTTGAATGAGTTGTTTTGTGTGGCACTGTTGATATGCTGTTGAATAATAATTAAAAATGCATTGTGGCTTTGTCAGCCTGCGCAGACACAGTGTGCTGCCGTGAGAAGTCGCTTAACACCGACGGCATTGGAAACTAGTCAAATATGCACTGTTGTTGTTGTTGTATATTTAGATCCAGAGGTGCGACGGGAGCGTTTACATGCAGAAGTAAGTGAGGGCAAAAATGAGAACAAACCGTCAGCATGCCAGCTTGTTTATAGCCCACTGAGAATGAGTCAAACAGGAACAGACACCTGTGCACTTGTGCTTGACAACTTTCCTCCACCGACAACTTGAATCAGAGCTTGTTTCAGTGTCGTTTTTCCACTTACAAGAGCTGAACTGTCTTTAAGATTTTAATTATCCAGCACTCATATCAAATGCCCTGCATTCCCATTGTGAGTTTGGCACTTTGTTCCCATTTTCATGTTCATTTGTGTCATTGAAGCTTCCTGTCGCCTCCAAAAGGAAAGCAAACAAAAGCATCTTTTCACTCCCTTGTTAAGTAGCAGAGATTTGGAAGGAGGCAGCGCACTGGGCACAGCGATTCCTTCATGATTCACACCAGTCTGCAGCCAGTTGGTTTCTGTCTGTCTGTAATCGAAAAGGCTGCAAAGGAAGCAGACGTGGTGTTGAATTGGAGCGATGGCTCACTTTAATGAAGACAGTCTTCAGTGTACAGTCTTTACGGTGACATGGTCGGCTGGACGGCTTTGATTGTGTTGCAGTCTGTCACCTGTGAGTTCGCCACACTCAGGACGCCTCCTCACAGAGGGCTGTAATCCCATTACTCTGCATGCTTAATTTGAATTGTAATGCAATCTGAACGCTTGAATTTCTGCGTGACCCGTCTCTTTTCTCCCCCAAACGCAGGAGGTTCATGTGGGCTTTGTGTGTCTGTGAACTCACAACGCTCTCTCTTGCCAAACGAGAGGCTTCTCTATTCCCAGATATTGGCAAATGTTTCTGTTGGGAAGAAAGCGAATTTGGGCTCAGTCTGCATTCTTACAAAGAGAAATAACAGTAGTCAACACACACAGTTATGTGTGTTAAAATATATTTGAGAGTCTGAGAAAAGATGAAAGTCCAAATTTTGACATACTAAGTCAAAATTATGACACAAACTAAAAGTTATCAGATAAAATGTCATATTTTGAGTAAAACAAAGAATAAAACAAGGTACAAAAGTCAAGTTTTTTAAATTTCTCATTTAAATTAGGATTGAAAAGTCTAAATTATGAGGAGACGAGTAAAAAAATGTTTTAAAAAAGTAAGAATTATGAGATAAAATGTCAATATTGCGATTCAAAATTTGGTCAATATTAAATTTAATAATAAGATTTTTAAAAAAGAGTAAAATAGGATAAATGACCACACAGTTCACTTCATTTAAAAGTCCAAATTATGAGATTAAATGTTAAAAATATGAGACAAAATGATGCAATAAAACAAGTCTAATTTACCGCATTAAAGTAAGAAATATACCACAATGTTGAATGTTTGAAGACAAAAAAGTGATTTATAACTTACGAAATCAAAATTAGAAACATTAAAAAGTAGAAATTATACAAAATAACAAATGTTTAGAGATAAAGATTAAAGTTTTGACTAATTATGTCAGAATTAATTTCCAGAAAGTCATATTAAATCATATTTTTTTGTTACTGAGTGAAAATGAGAACTCAGCATGACTATTTTTCTTATCCTACCAAACTCCTCCCAAACTACAGGAGGTTCATGTGGGCTTTGAATGTTTGTGAACTCACAACACACGGTGCTGCCAGAATGAGAGGCCTATATATTCCCTGATATTAGGAAATGTTTCTGCAGGGAAGAAACTAAATCTGGGCTTGATCTGCATTCTTACAAAGAGGAATAACAGTAGTCCACACACATACAGAGAACACAGGGAGGCTTTCTTGGCTGATTGCACCCCAGCCTGGAATTTGCTGGAAAAATAGAGCCAAGAAGTGATAAATAAAAGATGTAATCTCCCCACGTGTGGGCTGCACCGGAGGAGGGAGGCTTTCTCGCAGCAGACCTTGAGGAAATGAATTGGCACACATGTGCTGCGGACCCGCGCACTCCACAACAAACCCCCACTGTTAATCAGTGCAAAGATAAAGTTGGCCATTTTTTCCTTCTTGCAAGAAGTAACAGTGCAGCTTCTCAGGTGTAGACCAGAGGGCTGCTTTATTCCCTGGTTGTAGCCGGTATCGTAGTTTGTCATCGTGTTATTGAGCTGTGAGCTAGAAGTGTGCTGCTGCTCTGAATCCACGATTAGGGTACCGGTTGACTATTTTTAAGTTCTTTTTTTAAAAAAAACGTGTCAGTAATTTGTTGTTTATGACTTCACAAATGTTAAGTGGATGCTTTTGTGTTGTCTTAAATGACAGTAGAACATTCATTTGAAGGCATCACCATGGGCCAAGGAAATCTTGATGGATTTTTTATGGCATTTTATGACTTTTGACTGCCCAAACCATTCAGAAAATAACTCAGATTAACTAATAATAATTTATTAAAATCAAAATATTCTCAGAACTCAAGCATGAAAGACACAGGAAAACATGCAAATACAGGATCTGCAGCAGTATTGCTCATAGTTACTGCAGTCCTTGCCACCAGAGATTAAATTGCCTTAAACATTTCACTGAGCTTCTAATTGAAAGCAGTTGCATGAACAGTGAAAGAGTTTTAAACATTGACATTTAAAACAGAATGCAAATCTGCTGTTTTTAACATGTGTGCACTGTCAAATACAGCACAGACAGACATCCTCCATTGTAATGTACATTTTTAGGCTCGGAGGAAGACCAGCCGTGCAGTCATTTCTGCAGAGAGTTTCATGCAGAGAAGCAGCTGAGAACATGAAAGCCTTTTGTCTAATTCAGTTTGCACTCAGGGTCACAAAGCAGAAACACATCCTGCATGAAGAAACAAGTTATGCCAAGATTGTTTGAGACATTACAGAAAAATCTTAAAACAAGTGAGGCAGAAAGGGAGCAGAATTGAGGACAGAGCACATTATAAGCAGGGTAGGTGGGTAAACATTGTGACAACCTCCTGTTTTAAGTAAATTTATTGTACAAACAGCTGAATAAAAATGTATGAAAATAACTCATCCCACAATCTTGCTGCCTTTTGGTAGTACAGAACTCATTTATCAGTTTTATTTAACAGGTTTCAGTGGTGCAATAAAAGACCTTTGTTTGAAAAACATTCAGCAGTTTGTAATATTGACTCTAAATTCCCGGATACGGCACATTCTTTTCTGATTTACGAAAGCCCTTTATAGAGAACGATACAATGAACAGCACTCTTATTAGGCCTGTTACAAATAATAAATAATCGCCTGATTGCAATTATGAGCCGACCACCATCATTTGTCTTTATTTTGAGAATGAGTTTCATTCATTTGTATCAAAACAGCTGGATGAAATGAACAGAAATGCCATCTTTTTGTCATTACTTTTACATTGTTTATTGTTCTTTTTAAGTCAAATAGGGATTGACTGATATGTGTTTGTTTTGTGTTTTGTGGGCCAATACACAATGTTGGTAATCAGGAAAGAGTGATATCCAATATTTGGAACCGATATGCATTAAACATGATATGTTAACACCATGTGATTGCAGGGAATCTTAGACTCATTACAATGACTTGATTCTTAAGGGTTAATATGATGGAATATTGACAATATAGATAGGAGCAATGAGGTCAGGGTGTCACGGAACGATAGGACGCTCTCCTCTGTTTACTGTGAGATTAATTGATTGTGATTGAACAGTTTGTCTCCTGCAGTTATATCTGTTATTCTTCTCTGCCTTGTTAATCTTTCACAGTTTTATTACTTTTATTGCCCACCAAGGCCCAGATCTTAAAGCTTTATTTCTTATTTCCTGATTAGTGGTAATGACTGAGTCCCTGCTAGACAGCCATGTCTGTCAGTTAGAGCAGATCACTGAAGTTAATCTGACTTTAAAAAGAAGCTACATACTCCAGATAGCATTAGCCACAGGCTAAGAGGCCTAGCAAATCTCTCAAGTAACAACCTTAATCTAGCACCAGCAGCAAAAGACGTTTCAGTTGCACTGACACCAAGAAGGGAATTATTTGGGCATTATTAGTGTAACAGGGAAACTGAGGATGCTCGTGTAAGATTTTGATGTTTATTACAACTTTAGCAACATCTGCTACCTTAACTTCAAACACAGCTCTGCTAATTCACTGGAGCTTCTCCGCAAATGTGCTCATCTGTCTCTCT